TCTAATTTTCTTGAAGAGATCTCTAGTCTTTCCCATTCTACTGTTTTTCTCTATTTCTTTGCATTGATCACTAAGGAAGGCTTTGTTATCTCTCCTTGCTATTACTCTGATTCAAATTCAAAAAATCTTTCCTTTTCTCCTTTGCCTTTAGCTTCTCTTCTTTTCTCAGCTATGTATAGGGCCCCCGAAGACAACCATTTTGCCTTTTTGCATTTCTTTTTCTTGGGGATGGTCTTGATCACTGCCTCCTGTACAATGTCATGAACCTCTGTCCATAGTTCTTCAGGTAGTCTGTCTACCAGATCTAATCCCTTGAATCTATTTGTCACTTCCACCGTATAATCATAAGGGATTTGATTTGGGTCACACCTGAATGGTCTAGTGGTTTTCCATACTTTTCTCAATTTAAGTCTGGAGTTTGGAATAAGTAGTTCATGATCTGAGCCACAATCATCTCCTGGTCTTGTTTTTGCTGACTGTATAGGTCTTGTTTTTTGCTGACTGTGTAGAGCTTCTCCATCTTTGGCTGCAAAGAATATAATCTGATTTCAGCATTGACCATCTGGTGATGTCCATGCATAGAGTCTTCTCTTGTGTTGTTGGAAGAGGATGTTTGCTATGACCAGTGTGTTCTCTTGGCAGAACTCTCCTGGCCTTTGCCCTGCTTCATTCTGTACTCCAGGCCCAAATTTGCCTGTTATTCCAGGTATTTCTTGACTTCCTACTTTTGCATTCCAGTCTCCTGTAATGAAAAGGATATCTTTTTGGGTGTTAGTTCTGGAAGGTCTTATAGGTCTTCATAGAACCGTCCATCTTCAGCTTCTTCAGCATTACTGGTCAGGGCATAGACTTGGATTACCGTGATACTGAATGGTTTGCCTTGGAAATGATCAGAGATCATTCTGTCATTTTTGAGATTGTACCCAGGAACTGCATTTCAGACTCTCTTATTGACTATGATGGCTACTCCATTTCTTCTAAGGGATTCTTGCCAACAGTAATAGACACTATGGTCGTCTGAATTAAATTCACCCATTCCAGTCCATCTTAGTTCACTGATTCCTAAAATGCCGGTGTTCACTCTTGCCATCTCCTGCTTGACCACTTCCAGTGCGCCTTGATTCATGGGCCTTACATTTCAGGTTCCTATGCAATGTTACTTTTTACAGCGTCAGACTTTACTTCCATCACCAGTCACATCCACACCTGGGCGTTGTTTTTGCTTTGGCTCCGTCTGTTCCTTCTTTCTGGAGTTACTTCCCCATTCTTCTCCAGTAGCATGTTGGGCACCTACTGACCTGGCGAGTTCATTTTGCAGTGTCATCAGGCACATTAATACGTGCTTTTCCCTTTCCGTTGAGTCAGATTTGGTTCCTTGGTCCTGTTTTTGTAGTCCTGTGATCTGCAAAACCTGGCCTGAGGGAGGGCCTCCCATAAGTCCTGTAAGCCAGCATCTCTGAGATCAGAGTCTGTGGGAGCATTCTAGGTGTTCCATGGGGCACGGAGAGTGGTCGCAAAAATCAGTGTCCATGTCCTCAGCTTCCAGTTTTGTTCCCTTTCGCCAAACTGCTCTGCCCGAGAATCTCCCAAGGCAGATTGTGCCTTCCCACCTTCCCCGACACAGCTGCCCTCTCCTGCGTTATCAAAGGAAGATGCTGTCTTGCCTTGGTCCCGTGCCTCTGAGTAGCAGCATCTCCACACACGGATGGAGGGCCCCTTGGCATGTGGATGCTGGGGTGGAGATGATGAAGGACTTGAATCACTGATCACTGGACGCAAATCCTTTAGCAATTCAGATATTGTCCTTTCAGGGAAATAACATCCTGAAAGCCACCTGGTGTGGCCAAAAGAAAGGGAGAAAGAAATCCTTTAATGTAAATTTCCCTGGTGGACTGCGCTGGAAGGACTGATGCTGAAGCTGAAACGCCAGTACTTTTGTCACCTGATGCGAAGAACTGACTCATTGGAAAAGACCCTGATGCTGGGAAAGACTGAGGGCCGGAGGAGAAGGGGACGACAGAGGATGAGATGGTTGGATGGCATCACCGACTCAATGGGCATGAGTTTGGGTAAACTCTGGGAGCTGGTGATGGACAGGGAGGCCTGGTGTGCTGCAGTCCATGGGGTCGCAAAGAGTTGGACATGACTGAGTGAATGAACTGAATTGAACTGAACTGCTCTGGGATTTTGGGCCTTCTTAGATAGAGTTCAAAGAACAAAATTCCCTGGTGGTCTAGTGGCGAAGCCTCTGCTCCCAGTGCAGGGAGCCCGGTTCAATCCCCATCCAGGGAACTAGATCCCAGATGCTATCACTGAAGATGCCACATGCCACACCTGAGACCCAGAATAACCAACTAGGTAGATTAAAAAAAAAAACAAACCCAAAATGACAGTATTAGAACGAAATATTTGTTTTTCTGTCTTCTTTACATGAATACATTTTCTTTGTTTACTGTAAGAAAAAAAAAACTCATAGAGAACTGGAAATAAAATTGATGCTTAACCCTGTTTTATTCTAGCAGTAACCACTTAATGTTTATTCACAGATATATGAATGAAAACTGAAAAAATTAGAAAAAGGCCTCATCCTTGAAAATAAGTATTTCCAAGAATAAATATAATTAGACTTGAGTATCTAATAATTATGAAATGGTATATTAAATTTTTGCTGTTATGAATCTGTTCTCAACCACTAATAGTTTTAATAGTCATTCAATCCAGGAAATTGTTATTTAAGCAGTTAGAACTCTAGGCTCACAGGAAATTTAAAAAAAAATTAAATTGAAATGTGCATAGATGTTTTATTGCAAACCAGTATGAGAAAGAAACCAATAATAGACTTTCTAGGAAGAAATATAAGTTGCTCTAGAATAAAATTAGGTGGGGAAACAGAATTGATATACAAATCAAGGAGAAGAAGGAATGGTGTACATTTTTTGACTTTTGAAGAAGAGCTGGCTCTTGTGTTTTTGTATGTAGAATATAACCCTGGAACAGAAAAGTACATAAGACATAAACACACAACTTAGTTTGTGTACATTTTTAAGTGGATAACGGGGAGAATCAAATCCCTATGCTGTTTATTTTTATTTATTTAGTTAATGAAATTTTTTTTTTGGCTTCATGGCTTTTGGGATCTTAGTTCCCCAAATGGGGATTTAATGTGGCCCTCAGCAGTGAAAGCACCGTGTCCTAACCATTGGACAGTTGGACATGACTGAGTGAATGAACTGAATTGAACTGAACTGCTCTGGGATTTTGGGCCTTCTTAGATAGAGTTCAAAGAACAAAATTCCCTGGTGGTCTAGTGGCGAAGCCTCTGCTCCCAGTGCAGGGAGCCCGGTTCAATCCCCATCCAGGGAACTAGATCCCAGATGCTATCACTGAAGATGCCACATGCCACACCTGAGACCCAGAATAACCAACTAGGTAGATTAAAAAAAAAAACAAACCCAAAATGACAGTATTAGAACGAAATATTTGTTTTTCTGTCTTCTTTACATGAATACATTTTCTTTGTTTACTGTAAGAAAAAAAAAACTCATAGAGAACTGGAAATAAAATTGATGCTTAACCCTGTTTTATTCTAGCAGTAACCACTTAATGTTTATTCACAGATATATGAATGAAAACTGAAAAAATTAGAAAAAGGCCTCATCCTTGAAAATAAGTATTTCCAAGAATAAATATAATTAGACTTGAGTATCTAATAATTATGAAATGGTATATTAAATTTTTGCTGTTATGAATCTGTTCTCAACCACTAATAGTTTTAATAGTCATTCAATCCAGGAAATTGTTATTTAAGCAGTTAGAACTCTAGGCTCA